GTATGTACCTCTATGTTACAGGTATGTTAGTAACAGTATGTACCTCTATGTTACAGGTATGCTAGTAATGGTATGTACCTCTATGTTACAGGTATGCTAGTAACGGTATGTACCTCTATGTTACAGGTATGCTAGTAATGGTATGTTCCTCACAACTGATGATCTACTCCTCTTTATGGAATCGGTACAAGGGGTAAGTCCACAAGGTTGACAAGATATTCATTGATTTGTTTATCATGTCAGATAATTTGGTAATCATTTTGGTTGCCAGAATAAATGAATTCAAACATTATAAACCAAAATTCCTGTGATTTGAAAACGCAGCACAATTTATTTTAAAACTTCTCATCAAACTAATGAAGAATGGATGGTTGGTTGGTTTGTTGTACAAGGTTTATCAACAACTAAGGTCATTTAAGGACGTGCCTCCATGTGTGTAGGGTATGTGTGCTTGTGTGCTGGAGACAGGGTATGTTGGTGTTATTGCCTCCTTTTTATAGCACAGATATGATGCCTTTGTTCTATGGTGCTATCTCACTGAAATACCATGCTGAAGGTACCCAGCACAGTATTCCGCCCGGTCACATTATACTGACAACGGGTGGACCAGTTGTTGCTTTAACCCTTACAACTACCATTTTTAAGGACTTTGGTATTTCAATATGGCCTGACCTGGGCAAACATTCAACATTTAAGCCAAAAGTGAGGCGCTTAGCAATAAACATTAAATTAGAAGTAGAGAGAAATGTGAAGATCCAAAATATTGCAACTGTACAGCAGATTAATTTTGGTTGCTATTGTGTCCCCAGTTAGAAGGGGCTGTGGTGGCCAAGTGGTTATAAGGCGTCTGACATTCTGCTACCACTAGCCTTCCACCACTGGGCCGCAGGTTCGATACCTACGTGGGGCAGTCGCCAGGTACTTGCCGCAGGTTTGTGTTTTTTCTCCGGGAACTCAGGCTTTCCTCCACCACCAACACCTGGCACATCCTTAAATGACCACAGCTGTTAATAGGACATAAAACACAAACAAACCAAACCAAATCCCCAATTAGAGGGCACAAAAAATAACCCCCAATTAGAGGGCACAAAAAATAATCTCCAATTCTGCAGGGGTTCCCCACCTTAGTCGCCTCTTACTATACATGCAGTGGGTCTCGACCCCCGACTTGCAGGGATGTGAATTATTTTAATGATTGAGTATGTTTTACTACCTACTTCAGTATGTTGTAGTGAATAGTACATGACAGAGCGTACTCTATGAACTCAAGTAAAATTTATGGCTATATGGAGTAATGTCAACAAGCTTAAGTGCTGGTTTCATGAACGTGACTTGATTTAAAGAGAATTCCACAAGTTTAGTTATCCCTTATGATATTATAGATTTTAGGGCAAATCTTAACTTATTCTAGATTTTTTTTCTTCTGTAATTTCAATAATGTTTTCATGTGAAAAATTTAATTTATGTACCTTATGTTAAACTAAGCCATTCTCTCGACTAAGTTTTCCTGTAGGAAAGCATTATTGGAGTCTTAAGGTAGGAAGATTTATAATGCTTTCCTATGGCAAATCATAAGGAACATTTATGAAACTGAGGCCTTATGATTGGATCATAACTTTGTTTTTCACTTTTTTAAGATCCCCGTACATGTACCAGTTAAAAAGGGTTAAATTCTTGCTATGAATTGGGAACTTTTAACTTGCTTAACAATAGCTTCAATAAAGAATTTCTTAATGAAAAACCATGTATTGTGGAACTTGTTATGAAAAAATGATAAAAATGAATTAAATTTACAAAAATGTTAACAACAGCTTTTTGACTGACACCTGGAATATAGTCACTCTAACCACTTGAGCTATCCATAGTAAATTTTGTCAGTTTGTGCTACAATTATGTAAAAGAGAAAATAAAGGGGAGTCCTTAAGTGCAGAGTTTTAAACATTCTTCGGCCATAGTTGTTTAATATTTCTGCAAGCTAACACTTTGCATAATTTTTCAGATGTCGAGAATAACCAAAGATATCTGTCTACATATAATCAAGTGTTTTGAGCCGTCGCCAGAGCGTGTCAAACAGGGCCAGATGGGAATTGATGGTAAATATTTCTAAAAGACTTTTTATTATCACCTGGATATCCAGATAGGTGTGACTGCCTGCTTGAAGTATGTCGTTGATATTGGTAATAACCAATCAAGTAATACCAAATATCCGGTCACGACAATAACATCCGGTGATGAGAACAATTTTAAGGAATTTTAGTGTTAGTGTGTATGGTTGACAGTGCGTCAGTCCCCGTTTTTGACTTTATATTAATGTATGTTTATATTATCTTCTTTCTATCACTCAATCTGTTCTTTCCTTTTACTTTCTTCTTCTTTGTGTCTCTATGGTGTCATAGCACTGACAAGGTGACATATACAAATTTGATTTTTTTATGTACATATCATGGAAGAAATTAAGATACTAACAGCAAACTGCCAGGGCCTGTGTGATAAGGGAAAACGGAAAGATGTATTTTCATATTTAAGAAATAAGAATTATAACATATACTGTATTCAGGACACACATTTTACTGTTGAAATGCAAAATATCATAAGGTCAGAATGGGGATATTCCTGTCATTTCAGTTCATTTAGATCAAATTCAAGAGGGGTTGCAATTTTAATTAATAATAATTTTGAAATGAAGGTGAGGAATGAAAAGAAAGATACAGAAGGGAACTTTATTGCTTTAGATATATTAATAGGAGAAACAGAGGTAACTTTAATAACACTATATGGTCCAAATATAGATAGGCCACACTTTTATGAACAAATAGTAGATGCTATTAATGAGTATAACAATGAATATTTTATTGTATGTGGTGATTTTAATTTGGTTCTGAATCCTGATTTAGACTATGATCAAAATTATAGACATATAAATAATCCAAAGGCTAGGGATAAGATAATCGAATTAATGGAAGAACTAGATATGATAGACATTTTTAGAGAACAACACCCA